AGGGTGACTTGTTATGAGTATATGGCTTTTATGTTAAATATCATAAATGTACCTATATACAAAAATTGATAGCAATTTGCTCATGTATTTCAGGCTTTTGAGTAAGATGAAACCATGAGGAATAGCAAGCTTATATGTGATTGTCCTTTATTTTTTCAAATGTAAAACTACTTGCAACTGAGTAGCTTTATAGCTCTGCATAACGTATCTATACTACTTTTTAAAAAACCTTTTTTATACCTAGTCTTGCTCATCTTAAAACTGTCCAAAAGATAAGATAGGTTACTGAACACAAGTGACACTCAAGGATTTCAGACTGAAGCATAAACTGAAAACATTACTACCAAATGACTGAAGTGGTGAGGTGTTATGGGCATTCACACACATGGGCAGTATCCCTCGGTTGTCCAAATGTTTCTAGTAATGATCATAGTATAGTCCTTATTTCTACGGCTTTTAAGAACGAATTGTGGCTACCTGCTTGTGTTTTCGTGTTTGTTTAGAGTACTATTTATTTTTGTGTGTAAGATGTAACCCCTGTGATCCTGGGAAGAGCTTGAGCCATTTAGCTTGCTTTTTTCATTACCTTTTAAACTAGTGTGGGATAGTAAATGAGAGCAAGGTGAGGTTTATGTTATGTTGGAATCAGGTTAATGAAGATCACCCGCTGTTACTGCAGATACTGAAAGAAAGGATGTTACTGAAAGAAAGGATGTGCTGGGATGTATAAATGCAAGAAGCAAGGTGCATTCTTAAAACTTTTGTTTACTACTATTTGCTGGTGTGACAGAAAGCACTATTTAGTTGGAAACACTAACAATAAAAATGCTTCATGTCTACTACACAACTTTAAACATGAATTTAGACATGAATCAGAGATTGCAATCTGTAGCTGAAACAATAGTATTATTTCTGTGTTACTCATTAATTTTTTTTTACTTTTTTTCCATGAAATGCTGGAGAATAGAGATGTTTTTCAGATGGCACTGGTACTATGATTTAACAGAAAGCAAATATTCTAGCTTACAGTAGTATATAAAGGGAGAGCTATACTTCCTGGCTGCTGTACCACTTGCTTAGAAACACCTCACTCATCTCATATTTGTCTTTTGTTCTGAAATTCAATGACCATTTTTATGCCAGCAGTGCTTGCTTTTCTCTTTCTTCAAGAAGAAACTTCTTACTAAAGCAAAGCTTGGCTGAAACTCTTGTTCCAAAATTGCTCTCTGTTTTGATGCTGGAAATTGAGTTTCTAGTCAAAATGTTTTAAAATAAAAGTACATGTTTTAGTGTTTCTGTAACAATAAATTAACTGCTGTAAAAGTTGATACTTGAGTTGTAATATTTGCAGAGAAATAAGACAAATAGAGCAGAAAGAGCTGATATCCACTACCCATTCTCTATCGACTGTAGTTTTGTATGCATAGAGCTAGGACAAGAAGAAAATCCTTTTTCCTTATCCTAAAAATAAAATACTAATTTGGAACAGTGTGTTTTCATTCATTGGCAATGTTGGACTCTGTTAGGTGTGTCAAAGCAGTAATACCTTAGCTTAGTAACAGGAAGAACTGAGTCAGGTATTTGACATCATGCCTTCCAGAAATTATTTGGTGTGGGATTTTTCTTTTAATGTATTTTGTGCTGATGGGAAGAATGTTCTTTAACAAACATGCAGAACTTAAAGGGAAGGTGAGCCCGTTACTTCAACCTCTCACCAAGAATAAGCTAACCATGGGTGGTATAGCATGGCTTTAACTGTCCATTCTAGCAAAAAACAGTAAAGAGCTGCTGGGTGTGTTGTGGTAGAAAAATACGCTACTGATTTTTTTTGAGTAAACTTTTGCTGCTACTTTGCTTCAGATACTTATGCATAAAAAATAAGGTGAACTCAGGTAATCTTATGCATAACCAATTCTGTAGTTTACGGGAAGTTACAATGGTAAAAAGTAGTTTTTTAAAAAATATTTCTATGAAGATAAGTGTTTCTCAGACTTTTGAGGTAGGATTTCAGTTTAGTTGTGATTGCAGATTTTTGTGTAGTCCTCATTGAAGGTACTGACAAAACCCTAAGTTTTCCAAAGAAACTCATGCATGTTCCAAATCTTGTATAATTTAGATGGGATGAGCATCCTTTTATATAAGGATAGTGGGCAACTAATCTTCAAGTTAGCTGCAGAACTGTGTACTTGAACAGAAACCCTTTATTAAGATTCAGTTTAGCTACTGCTAAGTCGCTAAGTCGTGTTGGCAGATGTACTTTTTTGAGGGCTGAGGGAGCACTTGCGAAGTCTTCGCTGTGGGACCACGTCCTTTCAGTACAAGAAACTACAGGAGCTGAAGTTGTCTTGTAGTTCATTATTGATAGAGCAAATGCTAGGCAAGGCATGAATGTACATACTGAATTCTCTCTATCTGGAGAGAGGAAGTCAGAAGCTCTGCTTGTTGCCTTGGTGTTTTATGTGTGGCATACAGGTCATGTTAGATTTTTATTAGGATTTGAGCACCACTTACTGAAAATGTCTAGAGTATGTCAAAGCAGCATCATATCCCAGTAGTGACACTGCTGCTGCCACTGTTAAGGACACCATGTGGTAACGTTGCTTGGACCTTTTGTGTTTACAGTTCATAATATCTGATTGTTTACTACTTGGGGAAGAAAAGGCATCTGGTATAGAAAAAAATATCTGACACTTTAATCTTTCTTGATTAATCTCTTAAAGGTAATGAGGAGGCTTTCTAGGGCAGGGTAATCTGTGTAATACTGTTTTAGCTTTGTTTACAGCAGAAAGTAGACTGTAAAGAGAAGTGGTAAGACATAGCATTGCAGATGTTAAAGATGTGAAACCATACTGAGTGGGAGCAACTTGTATTCTTAAAACATAATTATCCTGGATCCTGCTTGGCTAAATGTACTTGATTAGATATGGATTCAGTGATGGAGCATGGCCACACCCCTAATCCTGGTTTTCATAGGTGTGATAAATGTAGTGCAACCTGGGAGAGGAAGGAAATACGTAATTGGATTTTTGAGTGCTTTGAAGTTGTGGCTTCATCTAGGAATGTATAATACTGAGGACAGGTAAACAAACATTCTGCTTTCCAGCTGCAAGGGATGAGAAAATGACAAGTGGTATAAACAGGACCCCTTGTGAGGTATTCTTTTGGCCAGAATTATTATATTTTGTGGATACATTGGTAGTAATTGTTAACTTGGGGGAAATTGGAATGTCATGTGCCTAGAAGCTTTCACTGTGTAAATAAACAAGATCAATTAAAGGCATTACTGCCTGAGTGAAGTCCTTGCAGCTTGATTTTCTGTTCTTACTGGTCCATGGCATTCATCGTACTGCTATTCTTTATATTAGCATTTTGTAAAACAAGAGAGGCTATAATTAAATGAGATACTGTAATTTGGCTCTGTTCTCTTACGAAGGCATTTGGATGGCAACTGGAGAGTAGGTAGTCTAAAAGTATTCTGTGCCTACGGATTGCTCTCAACTTAGTAAAGATAATTTTCCTTTAACACAGATAAAGAAGAATCATTCAATTTGGTCAACCTTTGCTTGGCAGAAGAATTAAAAAAAAAAAAAACCCTACAAAAAACCCACCAAAAAAAGCCCCAAACAAAACAAAAAAACCCACAAACCCCTCTAAATGCTGTTTAAAAATTTAGAGAAGGAAAGCTTTTTCAGAACCTGCTGCAAATACCTGTAGGTTGTAAGATGGTTGCAGACAAGTGCACATTGTGCCTACAGTCCTTTCTAAACAAGGTGGTATGCTCCTATACAGCAAACTAGGCCTGATTTTTTTTTTTTTACATTTCTTTTTTTCTTTGAAGTAAATAAAAATACTGGTTATTTTGCATCAGAAATATTCTGTAGTAATATATAAATACATGACAATGTATGTTTATACATTCAAACACATGTACTATGCAAAATAATGTTTGCATTTTAATGGACTTTTCTGTTGTCATAGTTGTCATGCTCTGTTTGGAACAGCAAAGATCGGATATGTTTGGATCTGTGAGAAATAGTGAGTATTGTTAACAGTTGCTGCATAGACTGTCAGAAGACTGTGCCTAGGAACTTTCCCTAATTCTCCTAAAATCAATTTAATTGGAATAATTGTCACCTATATATTTTCTGGAGCAATAATTTGAAGAAGAGTCAAGATCTTACAAGTACAAACATGCAGATTGCTAATGCTGCACAGGTTGTTTGCAGTTCACGTTGGATACTATCACTTTTCTCACTATTTTTCTAATGTGTAATGGTAAATATGATCCTCCAAAATGGTAGTATTTTAGTGCATATAAATATGCACTCAAGCATGAAACAGGTCTGATGAACCTTTTGTGATGTAGATGACATGCAGTGTGTAGTGTAGCTGATTGGTATTTGTGAACTTGGAGGCTTTTGGAAAGTACAGCTGCTAGTGAGAAAGAAAATGTATAGCTAGTGTTATCTTTCGTACAGTGACTTACCTTTTCATGTAACAGGTTCTCAGTCTTCCTTTTCTTGCCTTAGAGTTACTTTACCTTGTTAGTTGTTTGCCTTCTGGTGTATGTGATGGCCTCTACCTGTAGAACATAGGAATTTGAGGTGTATTTGAAGCTAAAATGAGTAATTGAGAAGGCTTGTGATTTCCCCACTGTGAAACAAGCATTCTGACAAACTTCAGCACCTTAGGGATAGTTTCTGCCCTCAGAGTCTTGTGGTTTCTCCAGCATGTTTACACAGTGAATGCTGTAATTATTTTTTCCAAGAGGGAGCTCATCCACCTGAATTTAAGCCATCTCAGCAGATAGATTGTGTTGAATCTAAAAGGCTTTGTTTGGTGTTATGCTAGACATTGTTAAAAGAAAGACAAATGGAAGGTCAGGCTGGGGAAGGGAATGTGGTGGGTGGGTGAAAGATGGAAGCTATACTTGTTTCTTTGCCAGGAGGCAGTTCAAGAATATCTTGGGGGAGGATGATAATGAATTAAATTCAGGCAAAATGGAGCACTTGACAGTTGCAGTGAGTTTAGCAATGGTGACTGACCTAGGTCCCTTGTAAACCTTGCCTGTCTGCTTGGCTGCCTGCTAAATCAAGTTCTGAAAATGTTACAAAAATTTGAACTTTGTAAGAACATCATAGTTCATATCCTAATGGATTGTCAGCTGCTTAGAACTGAGTTATGAGAACCTCTTCTTTAAAACAAAGCAAAATCCAACAGTCCTTTGAAAAAGCTATGTCAGAGCTTCCTCTTATAGTGTCTTCCAAAATGAGCTTACTGTGAAAGTTTCCTTTCCTTCTGATCATGGAGCTTTATTTGTAGGACATATGTATGGGGAACTAGTTCTTGTGCTGCTGACTGTAGGTGATCTGAATGTTTCTTTTTGGTTTGAGGTTTTTAGCAAATATTACCAAGACAGATATTCTGTGTGAAGTGGTATAAGCTGTTTTTTAATAATTTGGGTTTACCAGAGTAAACCTGCTACCAGAGTAGAAAAGAATACGGGGTTCTCAGATGTACAGACTAGGCATTGGCTTACCTTGTAAATCAAGTAAATTGAGGTCATGTGGCAAAGTAGTTTTGGAGAACTATTTAGATTGCACTTTGAAACCAAATATATTTAATTGAAGGCCTTACTTGTAGACAAGCATGTGAAGATTTAGGCAACACTATGTAAGCTAATTTCCTTGCTACGGTCTTCGGGTGCTTAAAATAAAACAAAAGATTGGGCTGAGATGGTATAGGCTATTTCTAAACTATATGAACGAACACCTTCCAGTTCTGCTTCCAGCACATGGTTTTTTAATAGCTCTCCTGAGTGTCTTTTTTTTTTTTTTTCCAGTCCAAGCCATATATATTTGACCGTGTATTCCAGTCAAACACATCACAAGAACAAGTATACAATGACTGTGCTAAAAAGATTGTCAAAGGTAAGGTGGAACAGCAACTTTAACTATTAGGAAATGTCTCATATTTGTGTGGATTTCAATGTTGGAAACTGCTACTTCTATTGCTCCCTTTTACCTTCTGAATGTTTAATAAGAGCCAATATGGATCATAGCAGTATAAAATCAACCTGTAGTTGATAAATTACGTCAATGCTTAACCTGCTGTTTTAGTTGATTGCAACATTTGATAACATTTACCTGACATATTTTAGTTTTTTGCAGTTCTCTGCAAAAGATTGTTTAAAACAATTTGTCAGAAATTAATCAAAATAACTTATGAATTGATTTGGGTTGGATGTCGTATCCCCCAATTTCTTGGCAAAAGCATCCTAAATTAGATTGTTTGGAGGAATGTAAGAGGAAAGGAAAGTTGTGAAATCATGTGTATGCTATGGATCTTTTCTAAGCTGCTTTATTTAATAACACAGTTTAAGGAGAATATTTTTTTTTAATATGATTTTTAGCTTCACATTTAAAAGTTTAAATGTGAATTACTGCTGTGAATGTCAGGGTTTCTCCAAACCCGAACTGTCAGAATTGGCGTAGTAACTTCAGAAAATAAGTTTTATTACAGAGAAAGTTCTACTCCACTAAGTTGTTGTAGTAAGCAATTAGTTAGTTTGCTGAAAATAAAGTTGATTAATTTCTTGAGGAGATCAGTAATAACTTCTAGTTGACAGAACTTTCAAAACAACTTTAACAAAGCCTTGTCAGAAACCCCTGAAATACCAGCTATTGGTGACAAGAGGAGATTGGGTAAATGTAGAGGTTTTTGATCATTAGAAAAATGAATTGCTGTGGAAAATCCATGCTGCTGCAAGTATTTAACCCTTTAATGAGTTAAATAGTAATCAAGATTAGATCAGAAGTTTGCTCCTTAAAAACTGGAGTTAACAGAATTGTAATGTTGCCCCCTTCCTCCATCTAAAAACCTGGTCTCTGTTTCTCTGTGCGGCTGTGGCATCATGTGAGCTCTCGCGGTGGTACAAATGGATTACAGATATGATGGGGTGGCAAAGACTTCCCCCTTTGGAGTATCTCATGCTTGTCTTTGGAAAATAAAAGTTTGCTTACGGGATGTGATTCTAGAGTAGCTGAACTGTAAACAAACCAATCCACCAGCCCCTCACCCCTCAATCTAAAACTTTGGGTTGGTTCATTCATAATTTAAGATGTAAGCTTACAGCCAAAGAGTAAGATGCTTGAAACTTAGGGGATAGCCCATTCCCTTCACAGTTAGTCAATTAAACTTTCCTGAAGGCAGAAAACATTATAGCGTTCCCATGTATGGTTTCTTCTGAGTGATCAAAGACTATCTGTTCAGCCTGGCAGTTGTATTGATTTCCTCCTTGGTCCTGACTCTGAAGTCCTGACTCTTTTGGTTGAAGGGAACGGGTGCTTCTAATACAGTAATCTTCTAAAACGCAGTCAATGATGACTTAATGCATTAAAAGGTGTGGGGAGGAACATTCCCTCCTTCCCAACTCTAGCACAGAGTTCCTAAACATTGAATGATTTAACTTGCTGAACACTTTGGGAACTGCCTGCTTGCATTCTATTTAATTTGACTTTCCTTTAGAAGCAGGAAATTAACACTAACAAAAATACTCTTTTCCTTTAGATGTACTTGAGGGATACAATGGTACAATATTTGCTTATGGGCAAACATCATCTGGAAAGACACACACTATGGAAGTAAGGAATCTTAAAATAATTCTCAGTGTCACTGTCATCTCTTTTCATCACACTAGTCTTATCTCTCTAGAAATAAGATGTCTACTTGTTTTCATCTTGCAGTTCTAATTTTCTTTCCCTTTGCATTGTGACATTTTGATACCCAAAATGTTTTTTTTTAGGACTGAGAATGGCAGTTGTGTATTTTTCAGCCCTCAGTAGCAGGATGAGAAATACAAGAATAATGTTGATAGTACATTTTCACCTTAGTAGTTTGAGAGATTTCTGAGGCTGTTCTTTTCACTCCTGGCAAACGCGGGGTCTAAATGCATGGTCAAGACTTTCCTTTATAGATAAAATGAGTACATCATACCTGTCAGCATTTAAAAACTAATTTGTCTTGTTAACTGTTTGTTTTGCCTTTGGATACTGTTTGGTGTTGGGTTCAGTATGAATGTTTCATTTTATTGTATCTTCTTCTAATAAGGGGAAGCTTCATGACCCGGATGGAATGGGTATTATTCCAAGAATAGTGCAAGATATTTTTAATTACATTTACTCTATGGATGAGAATCTTGAGTTTCATATTAAGGTAAAATTTTCTTTGTTGTTACTTACTTAATCTGTGTTAAAACTGGAAGTAGTCTATGGGCAAATGGATGTTCTGTATCCATTTCAAATGCCTGTAACTTGGAAAATCTAATGTGAGTTATTTCTGAAGTAACTGACTCTTCGTAAAGAAGAATTACGTTAACACTTTAATCTTGTTTCCATTAAACATTGATGGTAGCTGTCCTGATAACCTGTGGCAGTGCTGATAGTGTTTGAAGCTTTTGATCAAAATAGTTTCTTCTTAAAGGTGTAATTTAGTTCAGCCTTAAGGACTTGAGCTAGATGTGGTAGTATGTGGGAGGTCATAATCATGCTGGATCCTTCTGATCAAAAAGCAAAGCATTTTTGCTTTCTGATGCCGTATCTTTATTCCTCTTCCTACTTCTAGGTGTCATATTTTGAAATATACTTGGATAAAATACGGGACCTTTTGGATGGTAAGCCTTTTATTTATATTGAACATAGGAAATAAATTGTTCTGGAGAGAGATAAAAAATCCGACCCCCCTTGTGGTACTAAGATAGGTATGCAGTATGCTAATAACCTACGCATGATAAGGGTACATCAAAATGGGAAAGTGCAGAGCTAATCTAGATAATATTACTAAAGCTGCAGTAGTGGTCCTTGCATGTATATTGAGTTTTTATAAAGTATTGCTGAGAAATAACATCTGTGACTTGGACATGTGTTGTACACACCTCATTCATTTTGCAAAGAAACTGTGTATACATTAGCGTTAAAACTGTTTCTCTTCCAGTTTCAAAGACCAATCTTTCTGTTCATGAGGACAAAAATAGAGTTCCCTATGTAAAGGTGAGCATCAATCTGATATGTTTTCATCTTGCATGCCTTTAGTGTGCACCATTTACTTCTGGCTTGTTGGTGTGGTGGTTTTTTGCCTTTCTGTTTTTTTAAGGGTTGCACAGAGCGTTTTGTATGTAGTCCAGAAGAAGTTATGGATACTATAGATGAAGGAAAATCAAACCGACATGTAGCAGTTACAAGTAAGTATTGCTTTTGTGTCCTTTTAGTGCTTTATTGATTTGCTGCTTGTATGCCTTAAAAAGTGACAAAGGCAAAAATAATGAGCTAAATAATTCAGGTTTTTGAAAGGGCGTAGCATAAACAGTTTCAACCTGTATTTCAGAAACAATTATTTCAATTGATTTCTTATTAGATGTTGTTACTTAGACTTGGATTGAAAGGAGGAAGTAAGTGATCAGTGAGGAGCTCTGAAACCTTGGAGAAAAAGGTGTAGTTCTGCCTTAGGAATAGTGCAAAATACCAGTTTGTGGCATTTGTTTCAATTAACCTATGAAACTATAAGTAAGGCACTGGGGCTTGTCTACAGTTTGGCTGTTCTGTTGCATATTCTAAGAGCTAGTCAGAATATTATTTAAACGTGCTGCAGATTTAAGCAGCATTCCAATGTCCCAAGCTTTTTGGCCTGTGGCATGCAACTGTGTTGCAAGGAGCTAGGTTTTATGTCTCCGGGTTCCCACAAGAAGCAGGATTAGGAAGTGACAGGGTTTAAAAAAAAAGACAAGGAGAGAAGAGGTGCGTGCAGAATAGTACTTCAGTTCTTAGCAACTGAAGTGACTGTCAGATCTCTGAGAGACAATTTGAGGGTGAGTTTCACTATCTTCCCGTGTCTAGCTCTTTACTCAGGAAAAGAATGAATATACAGTCATTAAGAAAATAAAAGATTTTTCTCATTCTTTTGGTTAAGGATCAAAAATAAAAATACAATGTTCCTTTTTTATGTCATGACTCAGTCCTGCACTTCCACCTCATTGCTCCTAGGTAGTAAGGTTCTGAAGTGAGGGTCAGACTAAGCAACAGAGAAATAGCAAAAAATTTGGATAGAAGAATGTTATTCTACGTTGAGCTGCTTCTGTGGCGTCAATAAGCTGGTCCTTTTAGGACTGTGAGGGATTTATGGTTAAAAGGAAGAAGAACTAGGCAGACATTCTCATTCAGCTTGCAGTCAGCTTAAATTTTTTTAAAGGATTAAGATCATTCTTTAAATTCAGTAAGTCTTGTTTACTCTGCATGTTTCACAGCAGAGGGGGCAGTAGGTATTTAAACAGGAAAGGGCTGAAAGGTTTTGGCCATCTAGTTTAAATTTTCACAAGAGGATAAAGTGATACATTGTAAATCTAGGAAAAAAAAAAAAGATGGTCTGGTATCAGACTGTAAATGTGCATTCTGTTCTAATAAAGTACATTAAATGTGTGAAATCCATAGTTGACAGGCTAGCAAATCTCATCAGTGAGCTTATATGATATTAATAGAACCCCAAGGGAGACTGGATCTTTGTTACTCAGTTAGACGATACTGTTGATTTTGCTGTCTGTAGTTTTATTGTCATTGAGAGTTTGATTACTCTATGCAGTTTCATTAACTTTAGATCTGTCGCTTCACTGTGGGAAGATACTGTTTTGTTAAGTTAGTTTGGTTGTAAAAATATTTTTGACAATTTGTATATTTTGGATTCTAGATATGAATGAACACAGCTCCCGAAGTCATAGTATTTTTCTTATTAATGTAAAACAAGAGAACACTCAAACAGAACAGAAACTAAGTGGAAAACTTTACCTTGTGGACTTGGCGGGTAGTGAAAAGGTAATTCTAAATTTCTTTTTCTGCTCTGAAAAACTCTGGTTTTCTTTACAGTCAAATATTTTACATTAATGTAATACTGATTGTTCAGTTGTCGTCTCTGAAGTGGTTTAGTTTTGACTTTGAAATGTGGTTTCTGAGTCCTGGTCTGGGCTATTAGATACTATATCTTTAGCTGATCTGTATTTCTGCAGTGAGGGTTTGTAAATATGGACTAGGGTGGAGAAATAGGCTAAAGTTTGGTCTTGGTATCTGTGAGCATAAAAAAGTGTACAGATGTGTTTGCTAGCTAGGTACTGGCATAAAGAGTTTTATGGGTGTGGAATATCTGAATTTTCTTACATAGTGCTACCAAGTTTCTTAATTTGAAATTCTGACTACCATTTTTTAAAGTGACAGCTTGCTTTCCTGTGTTGCTGGCTTAAAGCAGTGAATGAAATATGTACCATTTTGCTTATTCTATATCACTTCTTATAGACTGTAATTAGCCTTTTAAGAGGTAGATTTTTTTAATGTTCTTTTCATCTTTGCTTCTGGGTTTATTCTCATCTTTGTCTCCAGCTTTTTTCAGTCCTTTCTGCTTGCTGTTGTCTTTCCTCATGTCACTATTCTATGGCCTTATCGTTGTCTCTGATCCTGTGTTTATTCTGACATGTTTCTTGGTAATGGTCTTTTTTTTCCTCTTTTAATGAAACTGGAAGCATTACAGTGAGAGGAAAGTTAAAGAGAAGGGCTGGGTTGCAGGTCTGCTTTCTCTTCACTCTGTTTCAAACTTTGCTTTTGTGCTTTTCCCGGTCTTTTTGAAATACAGGAGGCTTTCTGATGCCTTGTCTGGGATTGGTTTAAACATAACAAATAGTCTGGCTGAGTTGTAGTCATGATTACAGCTTGGTGAGAAGAATAGTAAAGGGAGGGTGATAGAACTATGAGTCAAATTCAGCTCTCGAGGCAGAAGACCTAATGTAGGTAGAGTGGTGTAAGGGTAGATCTTTTTTCACACTTCTGCTGATACCTACTTAAGTTCCTAGAGCACTCGTGCAGCCTCTAAAATCTGTTCTCCCAAATTCTTGCCGATACAGACTCAGCCATATTTTCCAGAAGGGGGAGTGGGGGTGTGGGTTTTTGGTTTTGTTTTGTTTTTGAAGGGGGGGTGGGTTGGTTGTTGGTTTTTAAGGATGACCTTTGGACAAATTATTCGTATTGTTTATTTCCTTTTACTTTAAGGAATTCAAACTTTTTGACAAATTTAAAACAACTTTTGAAGCTGTTCTTGACAGAATTTTTTAATTATACATTTATCTTCCATGAGAAGGTACTTTGCAGGGAAAATACTTCAGTTTAAAAAATCAGAAACACCTTCAAACACTGAGCTTTGAATGAAAAATTGATGATGGATGAGCGAAAATCTGAGGAGAAGTTTGCTTATTCTAATCAGTGTTGCTTATGAGTATCTCATAAGGTCAGGGAGACTGACTAAAAAGCGGAAAAACTACTCAAGTCTTACGTTAAATGTGGAAGGTGCTTTTTGAAGATGGGTTTAGTAATTTACTGAAATATTGTATAGGTTAGTAAAACTGGAGCAGAAGGTGCTGTACTGGATGAGGCAAAGAACATCAACAAGTCTCTGTCTGCTCTTGGAAATGTCATCTCAGCTTTGGCTGAAAGCAGCGTAAGTGTTCTCTTTTGTCTTTTTGTACTTCAAGGTTAAAGGTTTGCATCTCTGAACATGGTATTATGCAGAAATTATGCAGATCCTTGCTGATCTCAGTGATACGTATGGAGTCTTCTAAACTAATCCAGTTGCATTAATGCATTGCAAATGGCTGTTACTTTTGTACTGAAGTTACATTTAACATTGAGGCACCTAAGCATCGTACTGAAAGTTTTCTTGTGCTCTAGAAGTTACCATACGTAGGAGTAATGATTTTATGTCATCCCATACCTGTTCAGTCTTCTGATTTATGAATTAAAGTGGAATTTAATGCCTAATGAAGTTATACCTAGCAAAAGCATAGCTCTTATTTCAACAAATTAAATAATCTGTCTGAAAAACCATGACTAATTCATTTAACCATTTTCTTGGTAGACTTATGTTCCATATCGTGATAGCAAAATGACCAGAATCCTTCAAGATTCACTAGGGGGTAATTGCAGAACCACTATTGTTATTTGCTGTTCTCCATCTTCATACAATGAATCTGAAACAAAATCTACTCTTCTGTTTGGCCAAAGGTGAGTAAATGACTTAATATTTTGCTCTTACTATGCTCAGAAATAAATGTAGAGTGAGAAATAAGTAGGTTACTCTGTTAAGATTCCTGAACCAGATCAATTAAAATGTTTACTTTCTGTAATTTTTCAGTGCACGTGTGGCTGAGTGTTGTGATCTCTCCTATCTCAATTATATAAAGATCCTTAAACTGGGCAGGATCGTTAATACTGTGTATTTCCAGGAGGACAGCATAAAGTTTGGTTCAAAATATGGTTTAATGTATAGTCTTGGAAAGTAATTAATACTTTCTTCTTTTTTTTTTGAGTGGAAGGAGGGAGGAAGGAGTTGTCCTCTCAAGTTGAATCCTTTATTTGCTGGGAGAGCCTGTCCTCTAAAAAAAAACTTGATAGCATGTTGAATTAAATCTTCTGTTTTGTTTCCTGTATCTAGTGTTCCAGTAACATTTGAGTTAATACTTCTAAATTCCTGTGTCATTTGTAATTGAATGTATAAGTACTCATTTCAAATTTGATATTTTGTTAGATATCTCTTCTTTACCGCTCTATTTTAATGCTTCATTGTAATACTCCAGTTCCTGACCACTAGATTTAATCACTTCATTTACTGGAGCACATTACGAAAGCTGTCAGCATTTTACTTAGGTCATCTGGTCTTCTATGTTAGCGTACCTCTTCCACTTCTGTTCAACAAGATAGTTTTCTACTGGCCTTTTCAGAGTAGTTCTTTATTGTGGAAAGTAGACTAGATAACTTCAGAACTTCTTGAAAATCTGGCAGAATATAGGTAGCTAGTGGGTGTGGAGTGATGACTGCATTTGCAACAGTGAAGGTTTTTTGGTCTCTTTTTAGAATCTAGGAGGTGTTTTCCTTTCCACTTGGTATTTCTTGAATGAGCTATCAGGAAATGTCTTCCAGCTGTAGCTCTGTAGTTTCACTGCCTCATGCTCTTGACTTCATCAGGAGTTAACAGAGCATGCTTCTATTACAGCAACCATAGTTAGTCCGATACATTTATTCAGCCTTCTAGGGATGGTAAATTTATGCTGAAACCTTCAGCTGTAGTAACTGAAGGCTAGATAAATAGAGCATAACTTAGTAGAAAATCGTGTGCCTTTTGGTAGTAATCGGTCCCAGTAAGACTTTCCTCAAAGGAGCTTATAGGAGTCGTAATGGGGGTGGGGTGGGATTTTGAACCACCATTAAACTTTTTTTCTGTTTTGATCTTCACTGAGGGGTATTTGGTAGTAGGAGACTATACAGAAAAATTACTGAGGTAAGTGAAGTATAGCACTAAAGTAAAAACTATACATTAACTTCATGAATATATGTTATCAGTGCCTGTAGTTTCATGTCCAAAGCTAATGTCTTTGGATGAGATTCACCTGGCTGAATGTAGACAATCACATTGAAATGTTATAGCTTGCAACACCTTTTCAGTTAATAGAAATCTAATAACTGGATTTTTAGGTTGAAATGAGTTCTTAAGCTAGATGGTTTACACCCTAAAAGTATTATGCTCTCCATTGGAGGTTTGCTAGGTATGGTGAATGCTCCCCTTTGTTCAAAGCTGTGAACTACTGTCCTGACTCAAGTTCTTTTGGATAGAAGTATGCAGCTGAATTTTCCAACTCAACCAGCTTGAGATTTTTCATTCTTCCCAAAGTTTTTTTTGTATTGCTCTGTCTGTTAACAGTTGTATCAATCCAATTGAAAGAACAGTGAGTTGACAAAGAGTAGAAATAAGCTTTTGCGAATTGTAAACATTCCCACATCTCCACCAGTGATGTGTAGAAATTTTATTTAAAGCCTTTAATTTCTTTCTTTAAAAATGCAGTTTCAGAATTTTTTGCTCTTTCCATGTAGAGCAAAGACCATTAAGAACACAGTCTGTGTCAACGTGGAGCTTACTGCAGAACAATGGAAGAAAAAGTATGAGAAGGAAAAAGAGAAGAACAAGACTCTGCGTAACACCATACAGTGGCTGGAAAATGAACTCAACAGATGGCGGAATGGTGAGAAGCAGTTATGGTTTTGTTCTGCAACATTTAGGCAAGACAGAGACACTGAATTAGTCTTTAGGATACCAAAAATCACTAAGAGCGCTAGGCAAGACAGTAGTAAGAATATTAAAGCTAGGATATTAAGTTGACATTGGAAATTCATATTTTTCACTGTATTGCATCTGGAACAACTTCTAATAACCACATAATGGCAGGAATGTCTGAAAGTATATTGGTGCTAGGTTCTTCAACACTTGGTTTACTAGCAGAGCTAGAGTTACCTATGTTCTAAAAATTTTATTTTGGGGGAGGAAAAAATTATACTAATTGTAAATGCAGAAACTGAGTGAAATATTTCCTCTGGTTTGGCTTTCTAATTCAAATCAATATCACAAGTTCTTGTCCTTGTTTAAAACTCAAACGTGTTAACAGTCAAAAAACCCACCCAAACTGCAGACTGCTGACAGTACAGAATGTGTGCCTGTTCCTTCTTCCTGAGTTATTAACTTCTTATCAATTGAAGGGTCTGGCAAAATGCAAGTTGTATACGAAGCCTTACATTCAGGAAAGGAGGAACATAGTTCAGAACTACAGATGTATTCTGGAGTTTGGCAGCTATAGAAGATGATTTTGCTGTCTTGTAGACAACTGTACCACATTCTGGTGTAAATCTGAGAAAAATGGGCTCACTTAAGTAATCTTAGTAGCGTGTGATTTTTTTAATTTTTTTTCCCCAAGTCTTTTATAGAGATGGTATGAGGCTGCACCTGAAACATTAAGTATAGTTCTTCCAGAATATTGACATAAGATACTGGAGTGTTGGAAAGAGCCCATACCTTACAAGGACGGCATAAAATGCTTTGTAGTAAGACGCTGAGGAATTTAGTTTAGTTTATGAGAGAAGAGTCTTGATTAGTGTGTGGTATTTTTTTCTGTGAAGTTAGTCAAGTCTTTTTATCAGAAAAGGCTTAATGAACATAAAATGGTCAAAGTGTAACTGAAAAAATTTAAAAGCAATTTAAAGGTAAATATGGCTACCTAGCAAAAAAAGACTGCCGGGGGAAAAGAAAGGATTTTCTGTCTTCAGGGCAAGTTAGTTGCCTTTCTAGAAGGTAGGATTTGATGTGAGATTTGGAGCTCATAGCAGGATAACTGGGTGAAATACAATCTTCTGTGGTAAACAGGAGATAGTTTGGATGATCTAGTGGTCATGCTTTTACCATGTAATCATGTGAGCTCGATTGCTTGTTAACCATAGAGCAGTACTGTTAGTAGGGAATATGTAATACTTCTCAAGGCTAACTTTGTGGAAGATACTTCATGGCTGGCCGTACTAAAACTAAGTATATACTTTGCTCGAAGGGGAGACTGTACCGGTTGATGAACAGTTTGACAAGGAGAAGGCCAACTTAGAAGCTTTTGCAGTGGACAAGGATATTACTGTTATTAATGATAAACCAGCTACCACAATTGGAGTAACTGGCAACCTCACTGATGCTGAGAGAAGAAAATGTGAGGAAGAAATTGCCAAACTATACAAACAACTGGATGACAAGGTATACCATTCTTATTTAATGTAAGACCTCTTGGAAATATATCTTGAACTATATTATGTAATTTTTAATTTGCCAGTCTTCATTTGTTAGTACAGCTTGGTTAAGTATTTGCCGGGAGTGCCTACTCTAATTCTGAAGCTCTGATTAAGAGAAATCAAAATTGCCTTATCTGGTGCTAAGTGAGTATCCTTTCTTAGTTGTTCTCCCTCCCTTGTTAAAACTACTAAAAAATGTCCTGAAAACGATAAAGTATCAGTACATAGGAAAAAAAAAAAGATAAACATGAAAGTTAGAAAGGAAAAGTTAATAGAAATACCATTCAAGATTCTTACTTTCTGGGTGTAGAACATTCCTAGCTGATTGTTTGGAATGCTGTACCAGAAAAAGGAAAATAATGAGAAAGTAGGGGAAGGAGTAATTTGAAGACAGGATTTTTTTTTTCCTTCCATGTTATGCATATTGTATTTGAACATAATTTTAAATTTAAGCAGTACTACTAGATTTGGAAAGGAAAAAACCTTTTAATTAAAATTTAATGGCTTCTTGGAAGTTAGAACAACTTGGAGAAGACTTGCAAAAGCACAGGTATGAGAGTTTTGTTTAAGTGTGGTGTTTTACACATACATGCCAAGTTAAGAGCCTAATGGATCAGCCAGTGAAATCAAAAGGTTTATTTTTTTTTTACTTTTATTGCTTCCAGTTGTGTAATTGTCTTAGTATATGGAAAAGCTAGATGCCTAACATCTACTGTTTCTTAGATTATTTTTATTGAGAGGTATTTGTCAGTTTACTGAACAGAGTCTTACTTCACCTGCAGGATGAAGAAATTAATCAGCAGAGCCAATTAGTAGAAAAACTGAAAACACAAATGTTGGATCAGGAAGAGGTGAGTGTCACTCTTGCATCTTTATTCTATTTTTGTTTGGTTTTCCTTTAAAGAAATTGGGAGATGTTCTGAATAAGTCATGGTTTATGACCAGGGAGTAGAATAGTGGCTTACTGCTGTTACAGTACTTCTCTTTTATTCCTTATCTAAATGATCTGCCTGTTCGTTCCACCCACTTACACTGTGCTAGTGGTTAAACCAGTTTACTTGAACCGTAAGCATCTATCAATATTGAAGAAATTGAAATATTTTATGCAATGACATTGACAGGTGTTTTCCCCATGCAAAGTGAGCAGTTTGTCAGAACTGAAAGTACCTTGATTTACTGTAGGAAATCTGTTTTAAGGTTCACTTTTGGTCAGTTGGTGTACAGAGAGAGAGAAGGGGAAGGAGGGGAATGTAATGGTCAATAATGAAAAAGGAAGTATTTATGTGTTACTTCAGACCATACTTGCTAGAATATTCAAAGGAATTGTATGCACATGTTGCCAGTGATGTAAATTAATTAAATGGGGAAAATACCTATTAATAATTACATTGTGAAATTCATTTAGCCAAGATACTAGAAAAAATATTTCTATATAGCACAAAGATTAAAAAAAAAAATCTTTGTGTGCATGGCAAGAAGGAAATGGATTGAGGACTCAGGAAGTTGGAGCTACTGTTTAGTCTTATTTAAATAAATCTGCCTCTTTATCAACTGTTCGCTTTGTCTAGTTGTTCCTCAGCAGCTAACGGTGTTAAAATGCTGGAAGTTTAGTCCCTAGCCTGCTGACAATTTCAGACTCATGACTAGCCTTCAGTGGCTTTTTTGAGAACTTGCAATATTCCACGTGCGTTTCCAGTTGCTCTCCTTGTATGTCTTGATTTGTGAAAATACTTTAATGGCTAAAGAACTATGGATTTAGATAATAAATTTAATTGTTCATCATACTCTTACTGTACCTGCTCCTGGCCTCCTTATTGCATGACACAAAAAATGTAGATAGAAGCTATCATAGTAGCTAAAAAGCATTAACAATATTCAACTTATGCATGGAATTTTCTTGATGGTTATTTCTTGTTGTGATTTTAAACAAATCTCTATCAATATTGTAGCTTCTAGCATCGACCAGACGGGACCAAGACAACCTGCAAGCAGAGTTGAATCGCCTTCAGGCTGAAAATGATGCCTCCAAAGAGGAGGTGAAAGAGGTGTTACAAGCCCTTGAAGAATTAGCTGTCAATTATGATCAGAAGTCTCAGGAAGTAGAAGATAAGGCAAAGGAGTATGAACTGCTCAGTGATGAACTCAATCAAAAATCGGTACGAAATAGGGATAAGAAATTACTGACACTCTTCAATGTAACCTTTCTTACCTTACCTGTATTTCTTGCTTGAAGTCATTTAAAGTTTTTTCACAAGGGAAAATGGGAGCCAAAGTTGTCTTTAGTTTTTAGCAAAGGATGATTTTCTAAAACCAGTAAGCTTCAGAAAAATGCACAGTGAATATTGACCTTGATAGCTGTCATCTTTTCAGTACCTATGGCATTTTTCTACCCGAAGAGTATTTAGAAAAATCCTAGATGTCAGAATTTACCGCCTGCATTACTGGTAATCTGAGTCAATTTTGTTTGTCTTTCTGGTGCAGTTGGGGTAGTCCTTAATCTGCCCCTTCCATTCTTGAAATTGCAGTGAGCATGATACAGCTATTCTTGAAAGGCACATGTGTTTGCATGCTGTATTTATGGCATGTAAAATAACTTTTCTTGAAGCCTTCAAAACAGCCACTTGTTTTACTTTCTGAAAGGAGTAGTCCTGAACTCTGAGGACATATTCTAAAAGATCACCCTGGTTAAAATACAGATGCAGCATCAGTCCCACAGGATGAATGTCGTATGCCTCCTGACACACCTGCATAGTTTCTGAATTGACTGACAATTTTGGCAGCCAATTATTTGGCAGGCTTCATTCAATCAGTTTTAAACAGTTAATACTCTATCCATTATCCTAAAACTGTAAGTACTGGAAAGGGTCAGCATGTTTGCTGGCATCACAGACAGAATATGGGATGGTGCAAGTCTCGTTCTTCTCTGTTTGTGAAGATGAAAATTGAGTGGGTCTGGGTCTTGCAGTGGATGTGGCTTTCAATTTTCGGTTAGTAAGATTTGACTACATGGAACACAGGTATTAAAATTGATGTTCACAAGATCGTGAAACTTCTCTTTAAAGTTCTAAGTATTCTGAGCTGAGTAACCTTTATTGGTAACTTACATCATGTGAAGGTTGACTGAAAGATGGATGATCTCTGGTCTTCCTGTTATGAGCAGCATTTAAAATCTGGTGCAATAGGCTAACTGTATGTGTATGATTCTGAAGTGTGTAGGTTTTTTTTCCTGGGTTTTTTGTTTACTTTGTTTTTAATTAGTTTATAGATAGTCAAGTGACTCTAGATATTATAACTAACATCTATTGAGTGTCATGAATAACTCAATCCACAAGAAAGCAACAGTTGTTCTGAGATGTAGTAAAATTGAGACATTTCAGTGTTCTTAGTCTGTGTTGTGGTTTAACCTGGCAGGCAGCTAAATACCGCACAGCTGTTTGCTCATACACCCCCCTGCAGTGTGGTGGAGGAGAATTTGCGGGGGGGGGAAAGTAGTAAAATTCACGGGTTGAGATAAAGACAGTTTAATAGGACAAAAAAGGAAGGGAAGATAATAATGATAGAATTAGAATGTGCAAAACAAATGATGCACAGTGCAGTTGCTCACGACCTGCCTACTGATGCCAGCCAGTTCCCAAGCAGCAGCCCCTGGCCAGCTTTCTCCCTAGTTTATATACTGAGCATGACATCATATAGTGTGGAATATCCCTTCGGCCAGTTTGGGTCCACTGTCCTGGCTGTGTCCCCTCCCAGCTTCTTGTGCCCCCAAGCCTACTGGCTGGTGGGGTGGTGTGAGAAGCAGAAAAAAGTCCTTGACTTAGTGTAAACACTGCTTAGCAACAACTAAAACATCAGTGTGTTATCAGCATTTTTCTCATCCTAAATTTGAAACACAGCACTATACCAGCTACTAGGAAGAAAATTAACTCTGTCCCACCCGAAACCAGGATGGTCTGTTGTAGCTAACCTGTGCAGTAACTGTCCTTTGACATGACTGGCTGAAACTCTTGTGGTGTAAAACTTCTGGCATTTCTTTAAATCTGGAGGGCAAAGAGCAGGCAACTTCTGAGCATGCAAGCTGCTGAGCTGCAGCCATTACAACCACAGCAGCTCAAACTAGGTGGAAAAACTGCTCTAGGATAAGCATATTTGTTACAAACTCTCAGAACTGGGTGCCATTTTTTGATTTGCAAGTAGGAAAGAGTTAAGAGCTCTGCAGGCAAAGCTGAGATTATTTTCTTTTACGGAAATACAGTGGAAAGTTTTAGACTTGCAGTCCATGTACCTTTTTCCTAGAAATGCAATTCTCTGCAGTATTCAACAGTACATAACTCTGCTGTTTAACAATGTTGACGTGAATTTTGTTGCAGAGTTGTAAGATTATATTTTGTGAGCTGAAGGCCTCTGTTCCCAGTATTCCAGATTTTCTTTCAGAAATACTGTTACTCTAGGACTTCTACATTTTTACTATATTGCATATTCATATAGGTTGATACCAGTCTGGTTTTAGACATAAAAGTGAGACATTTCAGTAGGCAGCCACGTGTTGCTGTAGTTAAATAAACAGTATGAAACTACTTCTAAAAACAAGAATGTGTTTTGTTTATTAAAGTGTAACTTCTTTTACTGTAGGTTACTCTAGCCAGTATAGATGCCGAGCTTCAGAAACTTAAAGAAATGACCAACCATCAGAAGAAACGAGCAACAGAAATGATGGCCTCCTTACTAAAAGATCTTGCAGAGATAGGAATTGCAGTAGGAAATAATGATGTTAAGGTAAGGATTTGTTAGTGTGATTTTTAATGCCATGTATTGCACACATACATTGTGGATAGGAGGGGGCAGTTTTCCTACTGTTGTAAAAATAACCACCATAGGAAGCCTCATGTATATTAATCTTATGCCCAAATTCTTATCCATTGTTTATACTGCGACTTAATCAGGTCCCAAACAGAATTTGATTATGCAAAGACAAGGAAGAGCAGGTATGACTTTTCTGAAGCAGCATTTTCATTCATGCTGTTAAACTGCTGTATGAAATGGTCACAATCAACAGCATCACCTTGGAAATCTAACGCTGACCTACAGTGGCAATCAGGATGATACTTAGTAAAAATGGTAAGAGGAACCTAAATATAAGATAAATCTAGAAGATCACTAAAGAACAAGAATGTGAGCAGTGTTAAAAATCTATAGTGAACTGTATTTCCCTCTTCAAGTGACTCATTACCTTTGTGTAAACTTCTAAATAATCAGTTGGGAAGCTTGAAAAAAAAAATTGTATTTTGGTGTTTAAGTGCTCTGATTATCAGTTGAGTTGTGTTATGCGTTGTGGGGGTTGTGTGCTGGGCACTAAGTTGCTCCAGCTCATCTTTAATTCTGTTTCGTTATCTGAGCTTTCTAAATATGTCGTTCCACACTTTTCAGCAGCCTGAGGGAACTGGCATGATAGATGAAGAATTCACAGTTGCAAGACTGTACATTAGTAAAATGAAGTCAGAAGTAAAAACAATGGTAAAACGTTGCAAACAGTTAGAAGGCACACAAGCTGAAAGCAATAAGAAAATGGAAGAAAATGAAAAGGAGCTGGCTGCCTGCCAGCTCCGTATCTCACAGGTAAATGTTTCTTTACAGTGTATTTCCTAAATGTTCTTCTGAATTCATTAACCTCCTGGGGGGCAAAAGTTGCCGTTTCTGTTTGACAACTGACAAAGTACATTGTGATTGAACAGCCAGAGGAATCAGCTGTATCCTCAATACTGTCTTTGGTTGGGATGCTTCTGAGTAACTGTGTGACAGGATGTCAGAATTGCTACAGTACCTCTGTAGCCTGGTAATGCTTTTGTAGCACTTGTATGAAGTACTAGAGTCCCTATGTTCTCTGTCACAGGATCCTTTACAAATACAAGTCTTACAGAAGCAGTGGCCAGTGAGCACTCTGCCTGCTAATGCAGCAAGTTGGAAGTGGGAGAGGTAGCAGTAGCACAGGAAAATTACAGTGCGCTTCCATAGCAGGTTAAATTTACTTCTAATTTGAGAAAGGCTATTTTAATGTGATTGTTAGAAAAGGTCAGAAATGTAACTTCTAACACTTCTGAAAATTGTGATCTACATGCGCAATTTAATTTTTCTATATTTTGTTTTACATACAGATGGTATTTTTTTTTTTTTACATCAGGAGATGCATATTTCAGTGCAGTCTTCTAAATACAGTGGGCCTGTCTTGCCTCTGGTAGTATTTAACATTCAAAAATCTCTTCTTCCAGACAAAAATGTATTTTATTCCAATCCAGAATAAAGACATAGTCTTACAGGCTACGTTACAGATATACTTGAGTAGTCATGTTCTTAGAGCTTAGTTGGCACCGTTTTTGTCTTGAGATCAGGTTACTTTTATAAAAATAAGTATAAACTGTTTATGCAGATGTAATTCTGTGCTACCTAGTTCCAAAGTAAATGAATCTTTCCATTCTACAAGCATGAAGCCAAGATCAAGTCGTTGACTGAATATCTGCAGAATGTGGAACAGAAAAAGAGACAACTGGAAGAGTCTGTGGATTCCCTTAATGAAGAATTAGTTCAACTCCGAGCACAGGGTAGGAATTGCCAACCCCACCCACCACGACTATTTTAAGTGTATAGTGATAAATAGGGAATTGTTCTGTTCTATTTAGATTGAAGAGCAGAGCTATAGAATGGCTTTTTGCTGCTGAACGTGTAGAATTAATCAACAGGAAAGTGTGTTTGTTGTTTGAAAGAATGGCTATAGATAGGATTAAAGATGTTACTGATTTAATTGATCTTTGATGGGAGTGTGACTTTCTCCAAATTTTAAGGTATTGGGAAGGGAAGGGGTTAACTCCATCTTCCCTGTGATTGCCTGTTACTTGGCTGAAATGTGTTTTCTCTCTATCCCTACTAGAAAAAGTCCATGAGATGGAGAAAGAACACTTAAATAAGGTTCAAACTGCAAATGAAGTCAAGGTAAGTTAATTTCATTGGTTTTTTAAAAAGCAAAGTGAAGTATGACAACTTCTTAAAGCATATAAAAGCAAGTTCGCAGATGACACCAAGCTGAGTGGTGCAGTTGACACGCCTGAGGGACAGGATGCCATCCAGAGGGACTTGGACAAGCCCGAGAAGTGGGCCCGTGTGAACCTCATGAGGTTCAACAAGGTGCAGTTCAAGGTCCTGCACCTGGGTCGGGGGAACCCCCGGTATCAATACAAGCCTGGGGGATGAAGGGAT